GTGAGATTATATAAAATTCTGTACTAGCATCCTAGTGGCTGAAAGGTAGATTGCTTCTTATTACCTCCCTCTTTGGCCATCCTGATGCTAAAGCTCCTGGCAAGCACAGACTCACACCTGCCTGGAACTGGAGCATTCAGAAATGTCCTTTCTTTTTGAAAACACAAAGGTCTAGGGTCTTGCTTTCCCCTTTCGTAATCATCAGGGGCTGCTCCCCTTTCTTGCCTATTTTACCTCAACGATTCCCACTTTCCCCAGCGTTTTCTCTGTTCCCCTCTAGTGCTCACTTTCCCACCCAACTCAACCACGAACTCCTCCTCTCTCAACCCCAGATGCCGGCGGACACCAGCAAACAGCTCTCTACTCACTGTAGCCATTCTATTCCATCTTCAACTTAGCTCAGCCCAGAATCAATGAACCACTCCAGATGTCCAACTCCTGATTAGCGCCTCTCCTCCACACCCCCACCACACCCTCCAATTCTGGCCCAAGGCTCTCAGGCCACTGTTCTTTATCCTGTTTGCTCTGGAATTTCCATCATTCACCTCCCTATATCTAGGATTCCTCCCACAACCAGACTGGAAAAACTGGTGTATTCCCACTTTCTCCTTCTTCCGAGGCCATCTATTTAGAACTGTGAATTCCTTCCCCCATTTGGTATCCACACTTAAGTCTAGATTTTCTAATTATTGCTTAGACTTATAAGCCCTGGATCCCAGCTAACCTCTGCTTCCTGGGCCCTCCTAGGGCAGAGACTATCAAAGGCAAGTTTTTACCCTCCCCACACCAGCTCCAGATGACATCTGAGTAAACGGCTTCCTCCTTTGGCTCGTTATTCCACCCTCTTTCTCTCACATTCTGCATTTTTTACCCTATATACTATCTCTAAGTTCTCTATTTCCTTACGGGTAAATATATTTATATTTCTTCCTAAATGCCAGTTTCTCCCAACCCTATTTTTGCCCAAGATCCTCCTTCTCTCTTGCCCCAACCTTAGTGATTCTAGCATGAAAGTGTAAAGAGTCTTAAAGGTTCTCCGAACTTTACTTTGGAAAACATTACCCTGGAGTTTTCAAGGTTCCACTTTTTCCTTAGTTGGCCCTAACACAGGCCCAGTGATGTTCACCTTTCTGCCCCCTTCACTGCCCAACCACCCCCATCCTGACTTCCCTTTTTGCCTTTCTTCTTTATAGCATTTAAGTCCTATTCCTCCACAATTTTGTTCTCCTAAAACAAGCCCCTCTCTAAAGCCCAGAATCCAGACTCACTATGTCATGAGATCCTCTGCCATCTGTGCTAAACATTTCTTTCCTATGTAGTGAACTGGAGCATGAATAAAGCAAAGAGACCCCTGGAGGAAACCCGTTTGCTTCCCAAGAAAGCCTATGGCACTGAGAAAGAAAGAGATCCTCAGGGCGGCCTGGTGGCACAGAGGTTAAGTTCACACGTTCCACTTCAGTGGCCAGGGGTTCATGGGTTTGGATCCCAGGTGCGGACATGGCACCACTTGGCATGCCATGCTGTGGTAGGCGTCCCACATACAAAAGTAGAGGAAGATGGGCACGATGTTAGCTCAGGGCCAGTCTTCCTCAGCAAAAAGAGGAGGATTGGCAGCAGTTAGCTCAGGGCTAATCTTCCTCAAAAAAAAAAAAAAAAAAGAAAGAAAGAGATCCTCCCTTCCTCCCTCCCTCTCCTGGTAAACCAAAATAGTCAGATCTACCAGTGCCCTTGGTGCAGCCACCATTTCTTCTGGAACTCCCCTCCACTCTGTCCAATGCAGACTCCAAAAGCAGAGCTTACCAGTAACTTAGCTTTCCTCTGCCCTATCCCAAGAATTTGCCATCTTTTCCTTATGGCCTATTCTAAGAACTAGTCCTCCTTAACCCAGACATTAGAGTTCCCTCCCCTTCCTCCATCAATGACTTCTCAGAGCCAGAACAGAAAGAAACCTACCTACCATTGCTGCAAAGTTGGTAACAGGGCCAGCCCTCTTAAAATCAATTTGTGCCCCACAGCCTGTGCTCTTCTGCCCCACAGCCACCCCAAGGGCAGCCGCCTCAGTTGCCCGATCAGAAGATGAGTCTGCCTATCAATATCCACATGGCTTAGTCAAACTGCTACGGCCCTCCTAAACTCTACCACCCTTCAGGTTCTCTTGAGTCACCAAGCCCCCTGCTCCTCCTAGCTCCCCCAGTCTTTCCTAGTAACTGCTTCTCCCTCAAAATTTCACAGGTTCCTCTCCCAAACTTTTGCTTCTATTTGGAGCCTCTGGATGATTCTTGGGATTGGGTTACCCCATCTGATCCCAGTGGAATCCCCCAAATGTCTTTCCTACATGCTGTCCTCTTCAGTACCACATGGTGACATCACTACCCAATCCGAGGACCCCTAAACTCTGCTCCACTGTGCCGCCTACAGTCTCTCCCCAAAAATAAGCTCCCTCTATCCCAACACTCAAGGACAGGACAGGTAAACCGAGAATTAGATGACCTTTAAAGTCCCTTCCAACCTTGGAATTTTATGACCAACCTAATCCACTCCCAACTCCAAATACATCCCTCCATTCATTTTCAAAAAACGTTTCAGCCGTGGGACTCTGAGAAATGGCTTTCTAAGTTAAAAGAACCATGGGGCTACCCAGGGTAGCTAACCTACAACTGCACCCCCAGAAGTCTCACCAAAGATTGCTGCAATTATACTCCACCTCTGTGCCACGGGGAGGACCTCCAAACTGTCTTGAGAGTATTCAGCTGTCACACGAAGTGACCGGACCCCCTTCCCACACTGCGTAAAGAGCCCCTAAACCCTGGGCTAGACGTGTCCTCGCCAAGGGACGCCTGTCCTTACTGTCTACTCTAAGAGACACCAAGAATGAATAAGTATCACCACGTCGACAGCTTCATACAGCCAACACTGAACATTTCAAAACAATAAAACAAAAACAGAGTGCTTTCACTGGGCGAAGGGGGAGGTGCGGGCGGAACAGAAGGGCACCCCCACCCGCCTGTGCTGTTGGCCTCCCGGGTTTGCAGTGTGCTTCCCTCCCGCCTTTCCCTCGACCACATCTTTCCCTACAACAGTCTCCCGCACCTCCATAACGCGAAATCCCCAGCCGAGGTGCGGCCGGCTCCTCCCAGCCTTGCCCCGGACGTCCCTCCGGCCCAGCCTTCCTCTCGGCGGGACCCCGGCGAGGAGAGCCCCCTCCACCGTCCAGTTCACCTCCCTGTCCCTTCCGGGGCCTCTGGGTGCCCCTGCAGGGTTCTGTCCCGAAGCAGAACCTCGAGGAGTCAAGCCCACGAGGCCCGTCGCGGGACCCACCCCCCCTTCCTCCTCCCAGCACCTCGTCCTCCATGCACCCGGGCCCCGGAGCTCTCCGTCGTCGTCGTCCGGGCTTGTACCGCCCCCCGTCGAGGGCTCCACCCCCCGCCTTCCCCCGCCCCCAGGACGGCCCCCTCCCCACCGCGCGCCGCCTGCGCCCTCTGCCCCGGCACGGGACTCCCTTTGGCCTCCGTTCCCCGCCCAGAAGCGGCGGCGGCGGCGGCGGCAGCAACGGCTGCGGCGGCCCCAGCAGGAGCAGCAGCGGCAGCGGCGGCGGCGGCAGCAGCGCCGCCCCGGCCCCGCCCCGCCGCCCGCCGGAGCCCCACGCCCCGCCCGCCCGCCCCGCCGCCGGACTGCTCCCCCCGAAGCCCACCACTAAGGCCCCCCACGCCCCAGCCGCGATCTGCTCGAAACCAGCTCCGCTGGGCCTGCTGTCCGTTCCTCACGCCCCTTAGGACCCGGGGTGGGGGAGCCCTGGGGTTCGCGGCCATCCCTCTCCCTCCTTTTCCAAGGGCTGGGGGATAGCCCCCGATCCCGAAACCCGGCCCCGTAACCGGAGCCTCCCTCCTTCCAGTCCTCGGCTTCGCTCTCAGACCCCTTGCCTCCAGGCCTGGCGCGAAGCGGGTGGAGAGCTTGCACGCCGGATCTCCCCCCAGCTTGCCGGGGCTAGTATGAATTGCCCCCGATCTCATTCTCCAATTTAAGCCCCCTCCCCGCCGTGCCCGGCCCGGCGGCCCCCGCCCCTAGAGCGAGGGCAGCGGAGCCAGGGTGCTCCGAAGTCATCCCCCGCCTTTTTTCCAGGGACTCGGGTAATTGCCCCTGCCCCCATCACAGCACTCCCACTCCCGAACCCAGGCCCCGCCGCCACCTAGGGGTACCCCTTACCCTACGGCTCCCGCACCCCAACACCGGCGAGAGAGCAGCCCTGAAGAGCACCCGTCGCACCTCCTCTCTGAGGTTGGAGGGTATTTTCTCCCAGTCTCTTCAAGACTTCATCACGGACAGCCCCCCCCCCAAAAAAAACAAGCCCTTTCTCGCCCTGCCCTGCTGGCCAGCCTCCCTTCGAATCGTCGGATCCTTCGATCAGGGGGTTGGGGCCAGGTAGTTAACAAGACCGTAGCCTCCACCTCCCTTGCTGAGGAGTGGGGTAATTCCGATGGTCACCCCCCCAGGATCAACCCGACCCCCGTTTCCATGGAGACCCCCGCCCAGCCAGGAAGAAGACTCTCTCGGATGGTGGCGAACAAGTCTCACCTGGCTAAGGGAGAAGGGGGTGAGGAGGGGGTAGGGTAGGGCAGGGATGGGGTACGAAGGTGGGAAGTGGAGGGGAGCTGTCCCGAAGGGAGGGGCGAGGACAGAGCGAGCTCCAGGGAGCGCTACGTCCGGGGACACGAAGAGGACGGCGCCCCCGGGGGGCAAGCAGAACAGCCGCGGGGCGAAGAAGGGACAGGGTTGCGGAAAGGCTTAAGATAGAAAGAAGCGGGTGGGGGGATACGAGAAAGCCGGGGAGTCAAAAGGGGTGGAGGGGTTGGGGGAGAGAAAAAAAAGACGCACCTGTTCCCGGGTCGGCTCCGCGGGGAGGTTCAGGCCGCCACCCGGGCTCCCTCTTACCCCCTCTGAGCCGCCACCCGCCTAATACTGCCCCGATCTGATGCCCCCCTCCGCCCCTTATCGCCACCGACCTCCTTCTCCTCTCTCTCGGCGGCGGCGGCGGTCGGACTCTAGGAACTGAGAGGAAGAAGGGAGGGCTCAGCAAAGCGGAGGAGAGACAGAGCCACACACTGGCAGCAGCCGCGGCGAGCGAAAGAGTGAGGGGGAGAGCGGTGTGTGTGTGTGTCTGTGTGTGCGAGCGAAGCCTGGTGGAGTGGGTGCCGGTCGCAGGGCTCGACGGGAAGTGGAGTCCGGCCGGGTCCGCGGGCGGCGCCAGCCCCCGCTCCATGGGACTACAACTCCCAGAATGCCGCCTACCCGGGGGGAGGAATGGGGAGGAGGAGGAGAAGGGAGGGAGCGAGCGAGAGGGAGGGACGAAAGCAGGGAGCAAGCGGCGGCGAAGGGGGCAGAGCCAAGCAGCCCCGGTGACACTGGGAGGGGAGGGGAGGAGGAGGGGATCGCTGCGAGGACCGAGCGGATTCCGGAGAGGGAGGCAGCGGTGGCTGCAGCAAGCCAGGCAAAAAGCTAGACTCCCAGGAGAGGCGGAGGCGCTCAATCCGAGGGGCTGCAAGAGCCCCACGCCCCCTCCCCTCGACGCCCCTCGTAGGGGGAGGTTGAGGAAGGGAAAAGATTAGTGCGCCACGGCCAGGGGTTTCTCTCTTTCTTCCAACGCTCTCCACCTTATGCCCCGACCTGACTTTCTCAGGCCACTGGTGCCCAATCTAGTGTGCAAACCCGGAGACCCCAGATCTTCCCTGCCGGGCAGCACAGACCAGACGCATTCAGTCCCCCTCTCCCAGGGGCCTGAGGGAGGCTCCCCATGCTGGCAGGGCGTGACTCCCCCCTTCTTCCCGCCCCCCCCGTCGTCGCCACCCCCCCATCTCCCTCCCCGGAACCCCTCCCCTGAAGCCAGGGCTCGAGTCTCCCTCCCCGCCAAGAAACGGAGTCCTTCCAGGGACGACTACCCAGCCCCCTCCCTCATACAAGGCCCCTACCCACCAGTATCCCGTTCTTAGCGTTGCCCCCCTCACCGAAGTAATAATGGGGGCGACCTGAGTTGGACTGGTGGCTACTTTCCCTCCGAGACTAGCCGTCCTTGGCCACGCCGACCCTGTGTAGAGATAGAGAAGCACATTAATACTCCCGTTCTCCCCCCTCCAAGTTCGGATCCCCGTGGAAATGGCTCACAAGGGGAGAGGGGTTGGTAGTGGAAGTGAACTGGGGGTGAATCCCAATCCTCAAACCTCATCCCAGGCGTGGAAATCCAGGGATTCGTCCCTTTCCTTAAAAGCCATCAAATCACTTGGGGGGCGGTAGTGGGGGATAGATTATCTAAACCCCAATGTCCACGCGACTTGAAGCGACGCTCCATGTAAGAATAAGATACGGACTAGGCTGCCTCCGCGGGAGGGAAATTATAGCCCCCCCCCCGCCGTCGTCCACCCCCAAACACATACCCCTAGGAGAGTCAGATGGCCGAGGAAGCGGGGTAGGCGTTGGGAGTGCTGCAGAGTGAAAGGGTTGCGGCGGGGAGGGTCCGCGGCCCCCTGAGAGCAGAATCCAGATGCTAAGAGGTGGGTGGGGGGTGCCGCATAATTGCAGACGGTGTCTTTCCTCGCTTTTCCCGGAATCGCCGCCGAACACCGTCTAACACTCGCAGTTGCTTACCAGTCAGTCCCCTAGCCCCATTTGTGCGCGTGAGGCGGCCGGAGCCCGGGAAGCCCAGGCACAAACTCCGCGGAAGCTGGCCTTCGCCGCCGCCGCGCTGCCGCCGGCCTCCCTCCCTCCGCTGGCGGCCCCGCCGATCTACCTTCGCCCCCGGCCGAGGCCAGACCCCGCTCGCAACTCCACGCCCCTACTCCACCCCCGGCTCCCCCTCCCCTCGCCCTCTCCCCGCGGGTCCGGCCCAGCCCCTAGCGCCGCCCCGCCCTACCGCTCGGTCCCGAGCCCAGCAAGTGCCCCGAACTCGCCCCCCGCCCCCACGCACAGGCCAGTCCGGCAGGGCCTGGCTTCCCCCTCCCGCCGCGCCCCGCCCCCGAATCCACGTCCTACTTCGCCACCCAACTCGGCCCGGTCCGGGTTCGGCCCGCGCCCAGGCCACCGGAGTCCCCGGTTCGGTCCGGTGTACGGCCACCCACTCCGCCCTTGCCTGGGTGCCGGCCTGGCCCGCTGCCTGCGCCCGCCGAGCCGGCCCAGGCGCGCGGTACGGGTCCGGATCCCGGTGCCGGCCTCGGTCCCGGCGGCTTTGCCGCGTCTCGCCACGAGGGCTTGGTCCACGCAAGATCCGAACCCGCGCGGGGTGGGGGGCGCAGAAAGCAAGTTTCTTTATCTTTCCTCCGCCCCCACCGCAGGGCCGCGCTGTCCCCCGCCCCGCCCACGGCGCCCCCTTCACCTGGGCAAAGCCCCCCGGCCACTGTCGCAACTTTGCTCTTCTCCACGCCGCCGGGAAAGCGGGCGCAGCGGGAGGAGGAGGGAGGTGGCAGGGGGTGCTGGGATCAGGCCGCTGGGCTCCGGGAGGACACGTGGGGGAGGAGGGGAAGGAGGAGGAGGAAGGGGGGCGGGCCTGCAGTTCTCGGGGCTCCCCCTGCCAGCCCCGGGGAAGCCGGAACCTCGCCGGGCAGCCGCAGACCCCGCACTGGCCGCGGGGGAAGAACGGAGCCACCTTCCCCGGCTAGCCCCCGGCTCCAGGAAGGGGGGGGGCGAGCAACGCTGCTCGGGTCGGAGAGTGAGCGTTTTCGCTCGTGCTTTATGTGTGACTCTCTCCGTTTAGCCTCGGTGTAGTGGGGGGCATAGGGTCTTGCAAGGCGGGGGTGGGGCGCCCCCACCGGACGCCCCGCCTCTCTCCTGGCCCCCCACTTCCCTAACCCGGGCGACCTCGGTGCACGGCTCTCGCGCCCGGGCACCGAGGCCGCCCTCGGGCAGCAGCCCCAGCCCCTGCGCCGAAGTGGGACAGGTGCTGGGGAAGGGAAAATGCCGGGGCTCGCTGCCTCGCCCCGCGTCTCCCGGGCGGCCCACCCTTCGTGGCAACCTCCCGGGCTGCAACCTCCCGGGCCGCCCTCAAACGGCAGCCCCCGGCCTGGGCGTGGAGGCGTCTGGGGTTTGGGGGGGGTGGGGAGCGAGAGGCCCGAGGGAGGAAGGAGCAGGAGGGGGATGAAAGGTCTGTAAAGGGGGAAGCCCGCACGACTCGGGCCGAAACCAGGCTCGAAGAAAACTCTGCTTGTGCCCGCTTTTTCCGGGCTCCTTAGTCACCAAACCGAGCCCCTTGACCCTTACCCTTTACCCTAACGACTCCTCGCCTGGCCAAAGGAATAAATCCTCGTACGTGTTTACATCCCAGGCCATCTCCGGGACTGAAGGGCTGAGAAGCCTGTGGTCCACATTGGAACTCGGATGACTTTACATTAACTCTGAGGAGGAGACCAGCTTGCGAAGGGGCTGAAACTGCTGGCAGACTTGCTTTTAGTGTCAGGGTGTTTCTTAGCGGCTCCAACCCTGAGCCCGTGGTGGGAACTTCAAAGGCATCGTCTCAGCCTAGACGGTATTAGGGGAGGTGCCCAGCAGTTCCTGGAGGGTTCAGGGCTTTGTAAACGGAATGTGAAATGAATAGCAGGAATTTGAAAAAAATCTTTATGTGCAGATATATTGATATTATTTATTATATATTTATCTATACTAAGGAAGCCAGAAGGTCATTTGGAATGGAAGGAAGCCCTGCCGGATTAATGTCTTCCTCCTTCTCCTCCCCACCCCCCATCCTTTGTCCTAGGCCCAGAGGTTCCATCTCTAAGCTCTGGGGTGTCTTCTCTCCTTTGGAAGGACTTTAGAGATGGCAGTTGAGACTTGCCTGGTGTGTCTCCCTCACCTGGTTTGAAGGATGCGTGTGAGTATTGTGGAGGAGGGCAAGCCTCTAAGGCTGCAGTAGCTTTGCTGTTGTCTGAGGCCTGGTGTTCTACAACCCCTCTTGCTTGTCCTCACCAAGCTCAAAATCTGTTGCCAGCAATGTGGACATAACGCTTGCCATTTTACTCTGCTTTGGGAACCTCTTTGCCAGCTGTTTTAGTTGGTCACTCCCATCCTGCCTTGCACCCCACACACACCTTAAAAAATGTTTGGCCTGAGTTGCACTAAGGGAAAGTGAAGATTTGGGAATGATTTGTTTAAGCTAATCAATAAATAAACTCAAAATGCATTACTAAGGGGGGATGGCCTCTATTGGGCTTGATAATGCAGGCCCCACCAATTCTGCTTTGATTTAAGTTGGCTGTCTTCACTGATTTAAATTAATCTGGTAATTACTAAATCTCCACTTCTCTTAAAGCTTTTAGGGCCTTAGGGCTACTTTGCTCCTTGGTTCGAGGCTTAAATGGATTCTGGACACCTCCGTTCCCACTCGTCTGTGTCTCACCATTTGGCTGCATCATTTATCTGGCGAAACGAAGGTTGGGGCAAGATGGGTATTTCCTGGCTGAAGCTCTAGCTTCTCTGAGCCCTTTCCTGTTGGGGGCCACGCTTCCTGCCCTACAGGACATGATGGGAAACCAAGGAGCAGGGTGGGGAGAGCTGTGGGAAACCTTGTAAAGAATGTAGATATTAATGATTATTTTATTTGAGACTAGAACCATACCATAATCATAATAATAATACCTTACCTTTGTACAACATCAGAGTGTTTACAAAACCCTTTCACTTGTGTTATTTCATTTGTTTCTCACTACAACTCTCGATTTTGTAATTGAGGAAACTGAGTCTATGAATGTCTATAAGTGGCTCACTCAAGTCACATGGCTAGTGAGTTCCTGAGCCAGGACTCAACCCCAGTGGTCCTGACTCCACATCCAGAGTTCTTTTCAGTATGATACAGTGCCTCCATTTAATGCCAAAATATTCCTTTTCAGGCAGATTTTTTTTCTAATTGTTTCTCCCATCAATAACATCCACTGGCCTGGGCCTGGACTCTCTGAGAGGCAGCTTGATGTAAAGGAAAGAAGATTGTTTGGGGCATTTTAGGAACCAGATCCTAGCCCTGTCTTGTCGATAGCTAGCAGTGGGACCTCAGGCAAGCTCTCACATTTGAGTAGTGTCAGCCTGATGCCAGGTACTGTGTTTTGGGTCTTCCCCTCCACTCTAAAATATGAAAATCAATGCACCTGTCCTACCTCCCTCCCTGTCCAGGATGTCCTGGACATCCCTGAGCATCAAATGAGATAATGGATGGGAAAGAATTTTGTATGCTGTAAACTACTGGACTCATATAAAAGTTATTATTATCAGTATTGGCATCACCAGCCTCCCTAGGTGTAGCATGGGGACCCAGAGATAACACCAGACAGTGTCCTGCCCTCCTGAAGCTTACCAGATAAAACAGGGCATTTGGGGGTCCAGGGTAATTTAGGCCCCAAACCAACCTTTGACTAAAGCCATAGGATAATTGCTTCCATTTTCTGCCTTGTTCTGCAATCAGAGGCCTTGTCTCTCTGGTAAAACAGCCAAGCCCTACAACAACAACAACAACAATAACAACAATCCCAGTGGTTTAGATCTTTAGAGTTTCAGAGTGAAGCACATTTGCAGCTTCTGGTCGTCCTTTCATCCTCCGCGCTCCAGTCAGTTGGAGGTGCAGTCAGATCTGGAACTTAGGGTCTCAGGCCTGCCAGAGGGCTCATTGTAAGTCGTCCCAGTCAAAAGTGGACGAGGGGGCTCTGGCCCCGTGGCCGAGTGGTTAAGTTCACGTGCTCTGCTTCGGCGGCCCAGGGTTTCACGGGTTCAGATC